AGCAATCTCTCAAATTTGGAGATTCTCCCTGAAGGCAGAGTGTGGGTACAGCAACTCAGCCAAACAGATCCTATTTCAGAGCTGTAACCTAAAGAGAGAAATTGTAACAAAGCATTTTGAAATGGGATTTTTGCGCTTTCACCTACCAGATTTACAATTATTTTTCAAAAAACTCCTGTTATCAAGCCTGATCCAAATATCTTCAAAAGAAGAATTTGCACTGGGCTCTGAATCTTTCCCCATGTCTAACATACCTCTGCATTTATTATTTGTTAACTAACAGTGCACCAAGTTGCAAACCTCAGCTATGAAACATCAATTATAGAACAGTTTGACTGGAATCAGAAGGATTTACTTACATAAACCTTGCCCTCCAGTGGAAGAAAAATCAAGGCAGAAGCATTGAATTTGTTTGTTTGGGTTTTTTCAGTGTATTTTGTTCTTTGCAGAACTCACCACTAAACTTGCACTGGATATCTGTTTGAAGTTTTTCCTACTAAATGCCAGCTCATTCCTTATGCTAATATAAATAGTTTTTGCTTCAGTATTATATTCCTCCTTAATACCATAGAAAGGACTGGTATTATTTTGGTGTTTCAGCTCCTGGAAAAATAATGGCTCAAATTCTGGAAGAAAACAAAATTAAACACAGGTGCAATCCCTCTTTAAAAATAGAATCTAAGTAGGATAAAATACACCATTTATCAGGCAGATTAATCGGCATAATTATGGTGATATATTTTTGTATTTCTATAGACTTTCTCAGAGGCACTGGCTACTTTAAAGCCCTGTAGATAACCTGATTGATTAACACAGTTAATCTCTCTCCTGCTTGGTAACCCTGGCCCCAGGACAGACTTGAGCTTGCTATGAGCTAATTTTCTTTTTTCTCAAAATTGAGCTGTCTATCCAGACTTTGTCTATGTGTGGATTCAGACTGTACTGATACTAGTTCTTCCCCTAGACCTTTAATCTCTACTAATACACCTTTCAGGATTGTACTCATCCAGGTGGTTAGTTATTTGATACACCTTGTGAGAAGTGACACCTCTCACAGGAGTTGCTGGCTTTTTCATGTCCTTTCCCTCTAGTCCCTTCTCAGACATGAAAGCCAGACAAGTAATTCCCTCCTTAGAAAGCAGAATATTCTCTCATCTTGTTCCTGGCAGCTGTATTTCACCTAGCTTGTAGTGTGCTCTCTGTCAAAGACAGGGGATAGGGACCAGGGATGGTCAGCAGCTGAACCAACTCTGCCTTCCTGTTCTTTTGACTGATACTCAGCCATTTGTAGAAACTACCCAATTTTAGCAATACTGTGGCAAATCGCCATGTTGTTGTAAAGTAAGCTCAGACTATGGTGACTGAAGTTATGTGTCAGTGGAATGTTGTTTCCAGGCATTTTCAGTCATGCTAATGGCTTAGCAAAATACTGAGACCTGCTGAATCTAATGCTAATAGAGAAGTGGTTTTCAGGAGCTAGACTGAGATACCAACGCAGCTTGTCATCCCCACTTCCTTTGTGTATACAAAACTAACCACTCAAATAACTTCTATTTACTCTATTTGGAATTTTTTTGGTTTAGATAGTAAAAGTTACATTAATTTCTACATTTTTAAAATACAATTTCTTCTTTCAACAACTTTTTTTATTGTTATTTAGAATTAGCAATACAGCTTTTAGAATCCCTCAAGCCATTGTTTCCTTGAGCAGTAAATACGATACTTAGATTTATTTTTATGACTGCAGAGTTGGCAGAAATTTTGTTTTACATTATTTTAAATGGGTCTTAGACATGATACCCATGTCTAAAGATATCTCTTCCCATTTCTATTATGTGTTTTGGCTTAAGGGAAGCAAAGCCCTGATATCACTTGACTTACTTTCTGCTAGAGCCTAAGATTATAGCCAAAGGAAAAATCAATAGGATTGTTATCACGAATACAAGAAAAAGCTCTTGAATAGAGCATGTAAGTAAATAAAGTTTTCTAAACAATCTTTAACAAGGTAATTTAACTGCAGGAACATTTTGCTAAAACACAGGAGTTGGATAAGGTACAGAAATTCACACAACTACAGAACTCTGTCCTCCCTGTCATATGTAGATTCTGTTTTGTCAAGGTGATGAGATTTAGTCTCATTTTAGAAGTAAATTCCTCATTGTTGTAAGATATAAAAGAAATTTCTACCCTCCAAATTCTAGTGAACAATTTTTCCTTCTTGCAAATAATTTTATATTGCTTATCTAGAATGTGTTTACATAAAATATAATTAGGACAATACTGACAAGATGAGATTAAAATAAAATTACTTGTAATGCACTGGGTGCAGCTGCTTGGTTACATTCCCACTCTGCCCATTCATCTTGTACTCAAACCATTTTCTGTCTCTGGTGATAATACTACCAGCAGGAAGATACCCATACAACTAAAATGCTGCCCTAGTTTACACTTCTGCTAGGTTTAGTGCTAAACTAATTACTGTCACAAATTCAATTTTCATCATTCATCTTGAAATTGTATTTATTTTGGTTGTTTTTTAAAGCATTGCCTTTTAGGATTGTAGGATTCTCAGTTTTCCTTTAAGTAAAGTGAAGAGGTTTTCTAACATTCCAGGTATAAATTAGAAAATCTGAAACTCCAAGACTCAAAAAAAAAACCAACAAACCAACACATGGCTGTGTGAAAAAAAGGCTTAGGATTAAAGTCCTTATCATGATTTTTGGTTGACTCATGGGCATTGAACCTGTGAAACTGGCTTTGCCGCACACTCTGTACTAGCAATTCAAGATTATATGTATCAGTTATATATATATGTATATATATCAGTTAGAAGTAATTTTTATGATCTGAAGGGCCCACAATTTAAAAGCTAGTGCTGCAAACAAGCTACAACATCCATAAGGTAAAGAAAAAAAAATTAGGCACTGAATTTTTTTTTTAAATGTTTGAACAACATGTCTGAAAATTTTCATGTCTGAAAATTCACTAAGTCTACACGCAAGAGCTTTGTACCGCTGAAATCTAATCATGTTCTATCATTAGATTTTTTTGTACCAGAACAAATCATTCCTCTGTGCTGTGTTAGAAAGAAGCCGAGCTTTCTGCAAGCTATACTGTGGTTTAGTTTTACTAGTGCAATGCATCAGCCCCAGGACTGGCATCCTAATGAGGACAAGAACTGTGCTTTCATACAAAGAGGACTAGTTCCCCCTCCAGTCTGTTTAAAATATTGTTCACAGCTTTGAGCACACTATAGTTACAGAGCCTGCTTTTCCTCACAGGAACTAATACAAATGATATGAAGTCTAGGTCAATATGCTCAGTGTTTGGTGACTTGATTCCACATCACAGTAACTAATCTTGATTAGTTATGAGAATCACCACCTTTCACTTTGCCAGCACTCCTTGTCCTCAGCCTGTCATTTGCCCTTGTGCTTTGGAGAACTGTTATTAAAAAAAACAACAAGCTTCTCTGATCTGCCCCTTCTTGTTTCTCAGAGCTTGGCTCTGCTGTGGGGTACACTTGGCCTGTGACTGCTTACATGGTCTGGCAGCAGCAAGCCATAAATCATTTCTTATATTTGCAACACAGCAGTCTCATTGCACCCCAATGCTCTTATCTTCTCAGTCAGCTTGCTTCAGCACTGGTATTCATGATTTTAAACCCCCAGGGATTTATTTTAAAGGTCTTTAGTACAATGTGTTTGCCATTGAGACCCCAAGCATATCACCCTGGCAGAAAAGGCACAGTAGTAGAATGTTAACACACCAGCAGATTAGAGTGTTTGTGACTGTGATGAAAGTTATTCCATACAGCAGTTCTCTCACCACATGGTAGAGCTAGACAAGAACTGTAAGAAAAGATTCCTCAGAATGAAAAGTGTTCCCAGAAACACAGTTTTTTGACAGGCTCTGCTCACAGGAAAAGCTCTTCAGCCTGAGGGTGGCAGATCTTAGCAAGACTGATGACAAGAACCGTGTGATTATGACACATACCTAGAATACATAAGCTCTTTGGGCATGGGAACCAAAGGGTGGTCACCATATAATGTGAGAAACTTTCAAATACATTTTGGCAAGACAGGGGGAAAATTTTACATAACAAAATATTTTGGTTTGTTTTCAGAAGAAAACTCCTCCCATTTCTATACTAAAGCTTGAGTTGCAATTGGGGACAGAAAATTTAAGTCATGGAGGAGGAGAAACCCACCTTTTGCACAGAAAGAACAAGAACATATCAAGTATATGTCATACCAAGGAGCCATCCACTCTGCCTCAGGTTCTTGCTGCCTTCTTTTTCTCAATGGCTCAGCTACTCATTTCTGCCAGCATGTTACAGACAAAACTGAGTGTATAACACTGGGAGTTTAGATGCAATAAATAAGCTGGTTGGTGCCCCAGAGTTAATGAGAAGGGACAGAATGTCCTGACAGTACAACAGAGCAGTTAAGTCACAAAGAAAACAGGATTATTTTATGTTGTTTCTATTTCAGCCTGGACAAAGCTAGATTACAGCAAGTCTTGACAACCCTCCTTGTTCAAGTACAGGTCTCTTTGCTTTAATTAACAAATAAGCTAGGGAAATAATTAAAACTATTAATTTGTTGACTAAGGATGAGTCTATGTCCTTGCTTCTCTTTTTACTGCTCTCCTATTATTCTTGTCCTGTGTATTTTTTCTATTAAATACTTTACATTTGGGCTGAAGAATGGGTACTGAGGGTCTTAGTCTTCTCTTCCTGTTTGGAAGACTACTGTAACAGAAAAAGCAGTGTCCTGTGCTAATACCCAACTACAGGAATTCAGCAGGTAGCGTCTAAGCCACTAATCTGAATGTAATCCAGCTATACTTTTGAGCAGCACCACAAAGGCAAAGCAGGGGTATTCATCCTCAGTGATACATGTGCATTTATCTGAGTATTAGCTGGGAAATTATATAAGTTCCCATATAAGAACTCTCTTTCCTGAATAGTAGCAAATCCATACATACAAAGATTGGGAGATAGTTTCGCACTTTGATTTACTTTATTGAGTAATCATCTGATAGCTACAATGGTGAATTGGAAGTTAAAAAATAAAATAAAATAAAATGAAATAAAAAGAAATAAAGAAAAAGAAAATAAAAAACAAGAAAAAGGTAAACCAACCCCCTTAAAAAAATCCACATCGTATTTCCCCACATTTTGGGAAACAGCCTGAAGAAAACATTCTACACTGTAGAAGACACATGTAACTGCTGAAATCCATGTCTTGACATTGAAACTGCAAGTCTGAAGCATATAGTTCTAAAGCCTCAACCTAAAGAGGCTTAATAATAATAGCATGGATACATCACCACTGTGAAGATGTTAACATGTTAAGGATTCTGGGATACCAATCTGGTACAATCAGCAATATACTGGGTTCCTGTGAAAGATGTAGCATTTCCTCTTAAGGTCAGCTTTCAGAGAACTTTGAAAAACAGTATTTTAGACTCATTATTTACAGTATTCCTTTGCTTACAGAAAAGCAGGAGAGTAGTTCAATAAAAACTGAATGCATGATCATTTTTCTGACTGGATTTGATTAGTTGCATAACTTTAGTAAGATTATCACAGTGTGATCTAGTTAAGCTTTTAGGATTATATGAACACCAGCACCAAATTAATCTTGGAATCAGACAACTGAGATACTTGTAAACTCTCTTATGTCTCTGACCACTTATGAAGTCTCTCCCGGTCCCACTGCTTCAGTAAGCATTTGATAGCTAGTGCAGCATTTTATTGACAAAGCAACACAATCTGGACAGATTCCTGGCTTCTCTCTCCTCGCAAGAATAGTATGCCACCTTGTCAAACCCCCAAGGATGCAAACTAGGATTATTTTACATAAAGTCTCCCTTTGTAGCATCTGAAATAAAAACCTTTCCCTCAGAACTGCCACTGTTTTGATAGTGAATTCCATGCCGAGTTGTACAACTGGTTACTCAGTTCTTTGGCTGATTTAAAGAATTGCTTTCAAAAGTTACTCTGTGTTAGAGGCATTTAGAAAATATATTTATACCTGGTATTGATACTCTTTCAAGTACTCTTTTAGTCTTGTTGGTAATGGCAGCTCCCAGATCTGATTTGTGCTCTTGTTTATAGCTATTCTGCAGCGGTGTTGCAGAGATGGAGCAGACGTATAGAGGGGTTTGTTCAAGTAAAGATGAACTGTTCCATTTGAAGGTGTTTCAGTTCTATCCTTGCACATCAGAACATAGTACTCAATCAAATGCACAACGCTGTTGAACTGTTTAAGTCTAGATCTGACACAAGTGATGGAGTCCAGTCTAAACTTGCCATCTTGATATTCTATACGTAGATTGGTCGGTCCCGCTGATGTTTTTACCGATATAGTCAGTAGATACTCTGAATGCGAACTATCCCTAACCAAAAAGGTCCCTTCGGGGGCATCCTGTAACCTTTCTTTGGCTTCAGCAACAGTCATGTTGCCCCAGTACCATCCTGTTAAAAGATGAGAGAAAGAGGGGATTTGTTTATTCTTGTTTGTTTTAAAAGCTGCTCTGTGGCTGATATACTTCTGGTCACCTATTTCTTCTGTTGTTTGAAAGCCAAAGTCCTGCAGGCACAGTAAATTTTTATTTGCTATTTAAATTCATTTGTTTTACAATGTCTCGTTTTGACAGAGCCTTCCAGGTCACTTTTTATTTTCATATCTATGCATACACAAGCACAAACTTTCGCGCAGAGTGCTGCGAGGCCGCCCCTGGAGCAGCAGGGACGCGTCCCGCGGCTCCCTGCTGCTCTCCCGCCGGGGCCAGCGCTGCGTCCGCAAGGCACAGGCTGGCAGCCCGCAGAACGCCCGCTCTGGGGAACTCGGAGTAGGCTGCTGTTGAAATGAGCTTTGTCTAGCTATCGAAAGCAGAGGGATAAGAAAAGAACTTCGGCGAGGTAGCTGCGGTCCTGGCGCGGCTGCGATAAAGACAAAAAGCCCTTCCCTCCGCCCGCAACCAAGCCCCGCGTCCTGCGGGGCCGGGCGAGTCGCCGCCGCTCCGGCGAGGGGAGCGCAGGTACGCGGGGCCGAGGGGATGCGGCGCCTCGGCCGGCGGCAGCGCCCGGC